TTTTGTTTCGGTCGTCCGCGATGCTTGGGCTTACACTATTTGAAAAAAAAAGAGACATGATACAGCAAACACTACCAAAACACGAGTGTTTCGTTTAGCGTTTCAAACGCATTCATGCAGGGCTCTAGTGCCTACTATTGGAACTTAAGTGCTTAATAACTTTTCTTGTGGATGGACCTATGTTATGGACATTAAAAAAAATCAAGTCTCTAGCTCTTATGTCTTCTTAGATCGACGCGTTCATACATACGGACAGACGGACGTACAGACAGACGGACCGGGCTAAATCGACTTAGCTCGTCGCCCTGATCAAGAATATTTTTATAGGTATCCCTCGTATAAAGCGATTGTTACGTTCCAGAAGAATTGTGTAATTGTAATTCCGCGTTATCTAAAACATATGTAGTTTTCATATAAGTTTGGGGGTTATGTTCCATTAGGGTTTTAAAAAAATAAAATACATACAGAAAACAGATGCACAAATATTTCAACTCAATACTAAAGTTCAGACTTTCTTATACAATTAAAACCACAAGATATGAATAATAATACATATTTCAAAATTCAAAAAACAAAATTTAAATAATTATGTGCACATTAAAAAATTTAAAAACAAACTAAAACAAATTAAAGGTTTATTAAAAACTTTATTGTTATTCTTCAAACTTCATATGGTAATTAATCTGTTTCACTGTCTTCAAATATATTTGCACGTTATAATTATTTTCCCCTTCGCGTTATATAAGCCTATAAAACCTAATTTTTCCAAATCGCGTTATATCGAAACCGCGTTGTATAAGACGGCGTTATACAAGGGTACTTTGTGGGGTCTGCCATGCCTCCTTATGCCTGTTACATACTTAAAAAAAAAAATATTATACCCTGATTTTCATTGAAAATGGGTATATTTAATATATTGGAATCCCGATATTTCGAAAGAGACCAGTATTTTTCGTTTCAGCTAATTGTGAGACTAATTTACTCTAATGTTAACGTTGGCAAATAAACTATTTCTTGTTAGAATTGATGTGAAATATCTCCATTAAAATATTTTAAACAGTTTTTAGTATGCGCACTTTTACTTTACTTTACATTTGGAAAAATATTTTTCAGCTAAACGAAAAATTTTATGAATAAACAAAAAGCGGAGGGGCGAGCACGTATGGATACATGTTGGCCAAGTTGATGTTAAAATGCCTGTAAAAACATTTGTTTCAATTTTTGATTCTAAATTCAAATTTTTCAGATGGATACATAAAAAGAGCTATGTATCCACTTTTGCTCGTTTTAAACTTTTTAAAAATATATACTATTTTTAATATTTTGTCCAAAGATCTTTAGCAATGCGCTTAGGCATACTTTCCACCACTTTTCCAAAAGAGGCATGCGGAATTTCGCTCAACTCTGCCTGGATCCCAGTTGGTGGTATATCTTACATTGCGAGCCTTTTTTTAACCAAGGCCCATTAATTTTTAATGGGGTTCAGGTCTGGACTTTGAGTAGGCCACACCATTATACAAAATTTTTGATAATCGAGTTAATTCTTGACGATTTTCTCTTTGACCGGGGGTCATTGTCCTGCTGAAATACGACTTCTTCCTTGGGAGCAAAAGTGGATACATAGCTTTTTTTTGTATCCATCTGAAAAACTTGAATGTATAATCAAAAAGTGAAACAAATCATTTTACCATCTTATTTAAATATATCAAATGAATCTATTTCCAAAATTTTAGGCAGATTCATGAATTTTTTATAACGTCGACTTGGCCAACATGTATCCATACCTGCTCGCCACTGTATACTGACAAGCTGTATAACAACAACAATATTCAATCATTATATATCCACTATACTTGTAATTTATTATTTGTATCATTACAGTAAGTATGTACGTATTTGAAATAATACAAACAAAAGATAATACCTTTTTCCCTTCAAAATGGTCACGTGTTGTTCCTACAAAAAATGAACAAGCTCCACAGCTTTGATCAATTATAAGTTGATGTATATGATTTATGTCAATTTTGTTCCTGATTAGTTTAATGTGGTCCATGATGAGGTTTATACTTCGTTATCCCCCACTTATAGGCGGAATCACAGCAATTTCATCACCTTTACAGAGATATATCTCTGCCTCCAGATTTTCAATGTAGTTTTCGTTATGAGCTATGATCAGATTATCACTTATGCTTTTCAAGTTGAAAGATTCAATTAATTGTGTCAGTAAGCTGCCCGCTTTTACCACAGGTTCAACAGTGAATTCAGCTCGTGAAGTTTTTGCTAGCTCGCGACTTTTTGCAAAAAATAGCACATTAATGCTCACAACCGAAGAGGTCCGTTCCATAATTATTATTGAGATGTTCGATATATACACATAGATCTACAATCGAAATATCTATAAGCCTTCTAATCGATAGTTTTTTTGAAAAAAAATGGCCGCTTGGCTCACGAAATTATAATCGAATCATCGAATATTTTAGATAATTTTCTGTTTTGCGGATTTTATGACAACACTAATGTGTGTGTGCTTGCCCGTCGCGAATTCATATTCTTTATGCGTATCAACGCTTTTATACCCTTCCCATGAATAACCATCGAAACGCTTACATTTTGTTTGCATGAGTGGGACAAACGCTTTTATGATTTATGTAGGTATATCCTTCACTCAAAAGAAAAGAGGTGGGATCGTCGCCAGCAAATTTCAATTTTTGTGCGCTGCTGAGTTCGGTGATTTGAGCGACTATAGAGAGAGAGAGAGAGAGAGAGAGAGAGAGAGAGTAGGACAAATAGCGCATAGCTGTGCTTCATATAAGAATGGGACCATTTCGTTTGAGCGCTTGCAGCGCACTGACGTTGTCATGCAACATTTTCACTGTTCGAGGCTCGAACTTCGAGCCTCCAGCGACCGAGCCGAGCAAATACGAGGTATAGGGGTCGACCAACTTAACATTTTCTGCTGTAGAAACATTTGTTCTACATGTCTAGTCAATGTGTTCTCTGGTAAGTGCCAATGGTCAGTGATCAAATGTTATGAATTTTGTAACACAAAATGAGCAAAGGCCCCACTGTGCGCTGTTAAATCTATCGATAGTGTTGCAACTCTGAGTTCATTGATATTCTTACATATGTTTCTACATGTGGCTAACATACAGCTTTATATATGTGAATACAAATTATTCTTTTATTTATAAAGAATTGCCAAAAGTTATACTGTAAGTAGCGATTATATGTTGTTAAAATTCAGAGCAGAAGTATGCTCAGTTCTACATTGTCTATGACTAGAGTAGGTGGAGAACAGATAAAATAGAATCTCTGATCGTAGTTCCTTAGCAGCAAATACTTTTCATTGGATTTGCTACATGTACATACATATGTACACTGAGTCACTAAAGTAACCGAAGCCTCGATAAATTTTAATATGAAATAAAAATAAAAACAAAAAACATATCCAGAAAATGACACCTCTAAAGTCTACGTACACTTTAACTAATCTGCGTAATCTTCTATCACTTTGAAAACAAGTTTGGCACATGGTTTATCATGGAGCAAAAAGGAAAGGAAATATAGTAGAAATCCGTAAGCTTATATTAAAATATAGGTTGACGAAATGTGCAATGTTCTTCGTCAGTGTCCCGTAAGCTAACTCTAGAAGAATGAGAACAGATATTGTAAATCTTCACAGCCGAGCAAAACTCGTATATGAAATAGGTAACGGTCAAACCTAAGCCTGATTTAAATGATAATTACGCATATGAAATAAATAAGGCTAGACATGGTCCGCTCATCTGCACTTTTAGTTCCCGACAATCGCCAAATAAAGCATCAATATAATAAACTTGATCAAGTTACATCGTATTTCCTGAAAATGTATGGAGTGTACGATAACTTTAGTGGAACATTTTATATTTTGGACATACTTATCTAAAATCTGAAAATCTAACAGGGAGCAGAAGGCGTACTTACTGATTACTGAAAATTGCAACAATAAACATAGATGGATTTGCTTTAAGACACAAATTTTAGAAATCCGATATGTATTTATTTCATTGTTAACGCTTTATAAAAGTACAAGAAGCAAATAATGAGCCGATCTCTTATAACTATTACACAACAGTTTGAATTTAATAAAAAAAAAAACTTTAAAAACTATTACAT